GGATGCGGCTCTCCCGGGCTTCCCTCTGTGGAAATGTGCTGTTAAAGGCACCAAAAGTTTGAGCTTTAATTTTGGGTCCGAGTTTTGATTTCTTCAGTGGGTGTTTATGTGCCTGTACAAGGCAGACAGATGTGCATGGGTGGAAATTCTGCGGTCGATGTATGATAGAGAACTGATGGGAAACCCTGGTTTTATCATGATTTTGCATCACTTGTGTGATGGTAGACAGGAAAAAAACCAAAAAACACTTGCAAACGGTTGATTTTTCTTTCAGCTTATCTTCAGTTTTGAGAGAAGCATTCAAAGTCAATGTCAGAGACGGGGTAATGAGCAGACGGCACAAATTAGTCCTGAGAGAGTTTTCCTCCCTTTCTCTGTGCGGCTGTCAGTCACTGTTTGGGTATTGAGGTATGTCTTTGAGGAGCAGTCTCTGAGTGGTGTCTTTGCCATCCTTTAATCATGTACCCAGGAAGGTTTTTTTCATGTACAAACTAGCAAGTTTACTATTTTCTCTTGCTGCTTTTCATGACTTTCATTGACAGACTAAATTTTTGTATCCCGTTGTAATGTCTGCATTGTAAATGAAAAATACGAGTGATCTTGGCACAGGGTAGCTGCGAATTCTGAGCAGAAACAGCTATTTCTGATGAAGAAAAAACCAGTTCATGTGTTTATTTCAGAGCACAAGGCGGTAAGATGTGATCAGCGCAGCCTGTGTCGCTGAGCCTGTCGGAGAGCAGGGGATCCGCTCGGCTTGGCACACAGCGCTGCGTGAACCCCAGACACTACGGGCAGATAACCGCGTCCTGGGGATCAACGCCACCACCCGCCTGCTGCCGAAGAGCGACGAGCTCCTTAGCCTGCTTGTCGCCTTTCGTCAGTTGTCAATGTTTAGTTTTAACTGTTTGAGCAGTGTTTTACAGATATGCGGTGCCCCGAAGTGGTGATTATTAGACGTGGCAATGAAGATGCTCTCGTAAAAATAATAAAAGACTTATTTATTGGGGTGAGATGGGAGAGTGTGTGTGAGGGTGTTGGCAGAGGGAAACTAGCCCTTCCCTCCTGTCCCTGCTGTGTTAAAGCTAGCGAATACGAGCTTTAACATCCCGCATTACATCTGCTGGTTGTGACTGTGTGGCCTTGTTAGGTAAAGTGGCATCTGCCCCCTCTTTGGGGAGTTGTGTGGGTTTGGGTTTTTTTTTTTTTTAACAATAGAGATAATTTTTTGAGATGACGTCCTGCAAGATTAAACTCCGTTGAGAGTCTTATTGCTGATTTCTGCACAACCAGGATTTTTTATGTGTTGAGGCAGTTGTGGAGTGAGCTTTCTCTCCTGAAACAGCATTCGGAGGAAGGATTTCCGTTTGCTAGGTGTCCTGGTTTCGGCTGGGATAGAGTTAATTTTCTTCCTAGCAGCAGGCACAGTGCTGTGTTTTGGATTTAGTAGGAGAAGAATGTTGATAACACACTGATGTTTTTAGTTGTTGCTCAGCACTGCTTATGCTAGTCAGGGACTTTTTCAGCTTCCCATGCTCTGCCAGGGGCACAAGAAACTGGGAGGGGGCACAGCCAGAATAGTTGATCCAAACTGACCAAAGGGCCATTCCATACCATATGACGTCATGCTCAGTATAGAAACTGGGGGGGTTGGCCGGGGAGCAGCGATCGCTGCTCGGGAACTGGCTGGGCATCGGTCGGCGGGTGGTGAGCAATTGCATTGGGCATCACTTGCTTCGTGTATCATTATTATTATTATCATTATTATACTGTTACTATTAGCATTACTATTTTACTTTATTTCAATTATTAAACTGTTCTTATCTCAACCCAGGAGTGTTTCTCACTCTTACTCCTCCGATTCTCTCCCCCATCCCATCAGGGTAGGGGGAGCGAGCGAGCGGCTGCGTGGCGCTGAGCTGCTGGCTGGGGCTGAACCACGACACTAGGTTTAGCTCTTTTCCTGAAAAATTGCCATGCTCTATCAGTGGCAGAGGAAATGGTACGTTTTGAAGCCTTACACCACAATATTAGCATAAATAACCCATTCCACAGTAACTGCGGCATTGTCATTTGTCCAGTGTAGTGTGGAGATGGCTTCTGGATAGACAGCTGTGCGGTATCGCCAAGGGCTAGGGCGGGTTTCTGAGGTGATGCATAGTTTCAAATGTGAGACGTTTACGGGCTTTTTGAAGCAGATTTGTGCCGCTCTGCCTGGGTGCTGTCTCAAGGTTTCGAACAGCAGAACAGCATCTCCTTACAGCGGGATGACCGGGAACTTTACCAGGCTTGGGGGAGGGAGGCTGACATGTTACGAGCACCGCAGCTTTTCTGTGCGACTGCGCGTTTGATGTCTCTCGGCAGCCTGCGATGCGTGCCTGTCCTCCCCAGCGGCACCGCGTCTTGCAAGAGACTCCAGGTCCGGCTGAATAACCTAGTTCTGCAAAGGATAAAGAGGGCAAACCCTGTGCTGTTCCTGCAGTGCCGTGGAGGGAGTCACGAGCAAGCCAGGAGGAGGAGCTGCAGCTGGGGACTGGGTCGCCGTCGAACGGGAACCTCGTGTAGCTCTGGGTGACCCGTGACTTTGACTGCAAGAATTTTAGGGAAGGTGGTAGGTTGACAAGGCAAGAGCTGCTCCTTACTGTGACTACAAGGCTTCGGGGTGTCTGAGGAGCTGGCTCGGTTTATCTGAGGCGTGATGTGCTGGGAAAGGTGTGAAAGAATTAACTTACCCGGTGCAGGAAAAAAAATCGTCCCCACACCTTTCCATCCTAGTTCAAAGCAAACCGAAAGCTAGAAATTTAGTGTCGCTTTTCCAAAAGTGCGTTGCTCAGCATACTTTCCCCTGGGTGCCTTACGCAGGTCTTTGTTGTTCTAGTATCAGTAATCTGGTGGAGTGAGGAAACAATTTTACAATATAAATATTTTTTTCAAAGCTTGTAAAGTAATTAAAAAGTTAAACAAATATATACTGCGAAGTGATTTAATCTCTGTATGCCACTGTGCTTTCACAGCCGCAATTATTTAGATTTATGTAGGCAAATACCAAGCCATTCCATGCAAGGAACTAAATGTTTTTGCCATAAATGACAAAAAATCTCTCACAAAGCAACAGATTCTCTTCCCCTGCAGACTATTGCTTGGAGGGAAGAGCCTGCTAAGTCTCGGTTTGACAAGAACCAGGGAGCTCCGAAAGAACCATATAAATCATCTTTTATGTATTTCCTTTCAAAACCACAACCAAAACGCAGCTTTCTGCTGCAGCCCCTGGGGGCTGGTTCGGCTGAGGGTCCCCCAGCCCCCGCTGTCAGACGAAGGTCCCGGCTCCCCCGCGTCGGGTGCCGGCGGCTTTGCGGGCTTGAGGGGGGACCGCTCCTCAGGCAGGCGGGGAATAAACGGCGGGAAATGCGCTCCGCAAAGGTGAGCTTAAACTCAGCAGGTGGTTTGAATTGCTGTCCGGTCCTTTAGTTTAAATAAACCCCGCGTGATGGTAGAATACTGTTACTGTACATCGGTGGTCTCGGACCAAGAGAAGTTACGCACAGCCTTGGAGAAGGTTCAAAGAACATATATGTATTTAAAAATCTTTCACCCTGAAAGATTATCTGTTAGGACTACAATGAAACACAGTGGCAGCAAGGTGAAGCACATGTTATTTCTGTTCCTGTATCTTCTTTGTTAAGTAAAATGAAAGCATTCAGCTTCCAGAGCTGTTGCCGGAAAGCTTGTTTTGAGTACTTTATGGACTAGTGTGTTTTCCCTGTACAATGATAAAATCAATCAATAATAAAAAAAAAAAAGCTGCACTGAAAAATACAGTTAAAAAAGAGATTGTATTTATATATAGAAGGTTGGTGGCTTTCAGCTGTTACTTTTGTACAGAGAGAAATGCTTTATCGTCATGCCAAAAGCATAGGAAAACCAACAAATTGTTCTTTCTGGATTTAAATATACCCCAGAGTTTCTAGACAGCTGTACGTGTGTGTTTTCAAACGTCTACTTGAGTGTTCTTGCCTCCT